AAGTACCTGCAGTCGATGAGCAGGGCATGGCCCTCCCTGTTTAAAGTACCTGCAGTCGATGAGCAGGGCGTGACCCTCCCTGTTTAAAGTACCTGCAGTCGATGAGCAGGGCATGGCCCTCCCTGCCCAGAACAGACACAAACTGATCCATGATGCCGCACGGGACTCCAGCGTGAGAGTGCTCTGCCTGCTGACAGGCCACCGCTTTGGAAACCTTGTCTCCGTCATCTGAAAGATCAAGGCAGATTCATCTTTAATTACAAAAATCCTGGCCTGTATACCTTAAGTTCAACTATAATGGTTGTAGAAATAAAGTTATTTAAAGAATAAACTGCAGCAGAACTTCAAAACTGTCATATCGCTATATGACCGCCGGAGAGCCTAAGGTTTAGAGGGGGCGGCCCATATGCAGTCACCGCTGCCTGGTAGGCCGGTTCGATTCCCGAGCGGGCCAATTCAGGCAATGTCCTCCCCTCTGTCTCCCCCTTTCACTCTAAGATCTCCAATAAAGGCACGCTGGCCCAAAAACTGTAGCATTGCAAAGTCAGTCTACACCAATATATCAATTTGCTGCTTTTGGGTTTTCCTTTCAAATCTCTGTACACCATCCATCTCTGATATTATTAGGAATCCTTCCTGACAGCACCGAATATCAGAGTTGGTGTCACATGATTTTGGAAAATGATATTTTGTATTAATTATCTCTGCAATAAATATTGCAAAATAGAAAATACAGGAATGTTGACCAAATGCCTACAAAGTTCCTTATGTTCTATCAGAAAGACTTCTGTGTAGATAAATTAATCTACAACAATGGAGCTGTGCACGATCCATTTTGTATCAAGCAGCAGATTTGCAGCATGGTGTGTTTGAGTCACATTGCATTCAGTCTAACTACTGCACAGATGCTGGAAGGATATCTGGTGCAGCTCCATCACGCTGCTCTGTCTCTGATCTCAGACTCTGACCTGGCTGGAGTTGCTGCAGGAATGTGTAGAATGCCACCTCCAGAGAGGCAGAGCTGGACAGGCCCCCCCCCAGGGGGACACTGCTGGCTATCACCGCCCTGAACCCCGGGACAGGAGGAGCTGCAGACAGAGAAAGGACAAGTTGAAGCAAAGTACAACCAAAGCAGGACGAGATCAAGATTTTCTAGCTATTGACAGTCATTGTGTACCCCTGTAATGCTCGATGACACCCTTCACGTAGTTGGCCCAGCGGGGTAACCCTGGAGCCAGCGGGGCCCAATCAGCAGGCAAGCTGAAGTCCACTCTGTGGGGCTCATCAGCATCCTCAGTCGCTGTTACCACGGTAACATCCCGGCCACAGGTTTGACTCCCTACAACCACAGTCACCAGGGGCAGCGCCTGAGTCACCAAACACAGAGAGGAAATATTTAGCCAAACTCTTTTAAAATCAGGGAGTATGATGATGTTACTGATGAGAGGAAGACTGCTGTTAATACAACATTACAGACAGTCAGTGAGGTGTGGCAGGGTGCACGGTCTGAGTGTCCAACAGTGGAGTTAGGCCTTGTCCTTGAGCCTTAAAAGTGGGTAAAAAGTCCATTTCTGACAGCTTCTGGTACACAACGCCCTTACAACAATCCAGAGGTAGGGCACCATTACCATCATTCAAATTACACATTTCACCTAAAATTGTAAAAACAAAATAGGCCTACTCACTTCTAGATGTTTTAGTGCAGAGTTGTTATATGACACATTGAAATGAAGTTATTTGCAAACTCAGCAGTCTTTGTTCCCTTTCGAGTATGTATGCATATCCTGCATTTCTAGTATAAAAGTTGTTATTGAGTCCATTCATATATTGTTTATTTTGCTTCTGTGTTTCCCATAAACCCAGGAATGTAATAATCCTTTGCCTATATGTCTTTATTCTTCCATGTTATGTGGTCCAACATATGGATTATACAGGCCAGAGTTCTGAAAAGTTGACAAAACTCAAACAAAACATAAATATATCCGTGCCAGATGTGTTATCCAGATGTGGTACTGAATAGTGCTGGTGTTACCATCGGCAGCACGAAGCCCTGGTTGTAGTCGGTGTGCTCTCCGATCAGGTTCACCCTCCCCGGGGCACAGACCGCTATGAGCGGAGCATCCCCCCCGAACAGCTGCTCGTACCGCCGCCGAGCCGCCGCGAACAGCTCCGACACAGTGGGGAAAGAACCGGCCATGGAGCCGGACACTTCTGACACTGGGTACAAACTACTAAATCAATGAAACATGCGCAGGACAGACACAAAGAGTATTTTCTGAAGTTAAAAGCTCAGAAAGTGGCTGAGATATATGCATGAGAATGTGAGGATCTTCTGACATGTCAGGTGCTCTTTACTTCCTGGAGGTGTGGCCAAACGGTTTGTTATGAGGCTCTGATGGGTTATGGCTAGAAAGGATCCGTCTTGTGTAAATATGACGTCACGTTCTCGTTGTAACTCTCGTTGGAGCGGCTCGGAAACACATCTACAGCAGTAACATGATGCAACATACACATTAATGCAGCAGGATAATACTAAAACACTGAAAGGGAACATTTTATTGCACCAGGAGCTATCTTGGGACTTTTACTGCGACAACGTTGACTTGCCTGTGAATAAAAAATAAACCATAGTGTTGGTGATCTACAGTGTTGTCATTCTTCTTTGAACAGCAAGACCGCTAACACCCTATTTCAACAATCACACTCCCTGTCATTGACATAATTAATAGATAGTTTAGCTTCTCACAATCATTTGCTGTGGCCCACTGATGTTAACGATCGTAACTGAAAGGCTGCCTGCCAAACGTAAACATTCAGCCACGTGACTTGCAAACTCTCGCGAGAGTTTTACACTAGACGGATCCTTTCTAGCCATAACCGCTCTGGTTGGTGGTAACCAGTCACATGACACAGCTTGATATTTCAGCTCTCCCACGTTCATCTTTTTTTTCTTTTTTTTTGAGGTATCTATCAGTTAAACTTGTTTTGAGAAAAAAGGTCATGGTATTTGTTTTCATGTATGTCCTTATTACCTTTTTAATAAAACAAGGTAGATAAATAAAATAAAGTTGCACAAAATGGAAATACCCAAGTGAAGTATCAGGTGATCTTTACAAATATTTTGTCATCGCATAAATACAGATATTATATTACACTGACTTGGTTTCATGTAGTTATTTTTTTATTTGTCTTTCCTTAAAAGGAATATGAAGGAATAAACTATTTTGTTACCAGGAAAATCTAATGGGAAGACATTAAGCACATACTCAAAGCAAAGATACAAAGCTCTTTAATCAAACAATAAATCCATTGTATTGAGAAAAGGATCTAATGTATTTTTTAATTGTCTGTTTTTTGTTGAAGGAGCACAATGGCAATGCAACTTTATTGAGTTTTATTTCTGTCGGTTGTGGACTTATTTTGCATTTTTTACCATCAATTAGATAATTATTGTATTTCAGTCATCAGCCTACATTTACAGTCTGTCCTGTGCACACACAGAGCAGGGGGGTCGAGGACATTTGGTTCCTTCCCTCACAGCAGGAGGCAATAACATTGTAATTCTGGCATTTCCAGTTTTTGAAATTGCACCAGCAATCTGATTATTCCTCTTTAACTGTAAGGGAACTCAGGTAACATTTGCCAGTGACTATAACACTGTGCTTGACCTCCCATGGCCCCCGTCCAAAAATAATACATCTACGATAATGCAATTTATGCGGTTGCAGCAAAATATGTGCTGTAACCTGTAGATGTTGGTTTTTTCCCGTAATGTAATACATTTAAACTAAGTTACTAAAACAGATGTTGTGATTAAAGCAAATGCCAACAAATAATAAGAAATACAATACAAACTAAGTTTGACTGCATAAACATATTACCCCAAACTCCTTTTAATGTGCTGAATCTTGGGCCAAATTCTATTTAAAAAGTAACAAGAAAATTATAACTAAGTCACAGACACAAACTCTGTTACTAAATGAACAATTATGGCATTTATATTTTTGTATGCGCTATACTAAACAAAAAACGTTAAAATCTTGAAGATTGTCTTTGTCTCCTTTTTCCCGCATTAAATGTGCTCCTCTCATTCAATTATTGGCCCCATCCCAGCCCCCCAATTAATTTAGAACCACCACTGGTTACAGCAGTTTAAAGTGAAGGAGTTTAAATGAATAGGATGGAGGTCGCAGATTCACTGTGAAGTTAACATGACCTTATTTATTTCCTTATATCACATGTTTAGTCTAAGCAGAATTAGTGACAGCAGCACACGTGGAACAGAACAGAAAATGATCATGGTTACTCAGACATGGAGTAGCATTTACAGTCATTCCATATCCAAACAGTTAAGTTACTTCTTCGGTTTTCATCGTAATTTACATGTTCCCATGCTTTAATATTGAACAAATAATTTATCAAAGCATGCACAAAGGACAAACAAAAAACATTGCAGAAGACCTGAGAAAAAGCACTTTTACCTCCATTAATATGACACATTTATCTAAAATATTTTCTCTGGACAGATTCAAAACCATAGTCTGAAAAAGTAATTAGCTATCAGACAAATGTAGTGCAGTCAGAAATGAATTTTTTTTCTCTGAGATTTAGTGTAGTAGAAATTATATATGAGAATACATTTTGAATCTACTGTCATTTTATCAACATGTAGAATCACATGGAGTGTGGCTCCCCCTGGTGGACGCTGTTGCAGGAGCAATATAATTTATACTTTTATTTTTTCCCTGTAAAAAAGTCAGTTTGGTGGAGAGCTGGACCTCAGTCACTCTAGCACTGTGTGGCATTGTGAGGTTCTTCATTTTGTTCAAACATTTCCAGAATTACATTTCTATTCTATCATTGTGAATATATTACCTGTATCGATAAATCACATCAGGTTCATTTACAGCTGGTGCATGACAAAAGCAAACAATAATACTTCAAAATCCAATAAATAAAATAACAACAAAGTCAATACTTTGAATTGTACAGTTACAGTTTTTTCTTTTCATTGCTACAGTTAAAAATGTTCTTAACAATAAATGTATTTAGGAAAAGTCAGCTCCTGATTGAAGTGAGTAAGTGCAATATTGTTGGACACAGAGAAATGTTATCTAAAATGTGTAATGATTGGCAATGGCTCTAAAACTTCACATTTGAGCCCATTTCCAAAAGACAATGATCTGTCACTATGTCTCAGCAGGTATGATTCATCTGACAAAACCATTTTTTTGTATTCTTCTCATGATGACAAATATATTTTGATTATGCATACTCTACCATGTTGAGCATGCATTTCACACATGCTTGGAGAATGTTTTAATTAGGCTAGCTCCCAGTCCTGATAACAAGTCAATCAGTTAATTAAATGATCTGTGAGATTATCTTAATATAAAATGAATATTTGACAGATTAATGCTAAATCATCTCAAAAAGTTATTTAAATATACACTTTTGTGGATACAAGCTGAAAACTAGATTCTGTTTAAAGAACACATTGATTTGGTTGTGGTCTGAAAAGGGGGATTGCTGTCTGACAGTGAATGCACTGATAGTGGAGTGGTCCATGTCAGTGATTGCATAGTCTACTACAGGGGTTGGCAACCCCTGGCACGCGTGCCAGCATTGGCACGCGGCACCGTAACCAGTGGCACACTAGGAATAAGTGGAATAAGTGTGCAAAAATATTTAAATTGTATTTTCGGATCCTGAACGAGACCGCCGCCAGAGCGCGTCTCCCCTTTACCTGCAGAAGGAAGCCATGTACGCAACGCAGCCCCTCTCTCTTTATCTCCAGGTGACTTTCTGCCGCTTTCCTCAGTGGTGCAGTGCTGATCTTTTCACCACGGAGGAAAGCACTAAGCTAATTGCAGTACCCATAAGGAGCTGTACAAATGCCGCAGTTTTTGCGTGGCTGTGTCTTTAGTTGAAAGCAGTGGCGATCTGCTCATCGAAATAATATGCTACAAAGGGGCGGACTGGCCATCTGTGTGTTGAACTTTCCTGTCGGCTCCCAGACCGTAGTCGAGGAGGGCAGAAGCAACAAGCTTCAGGTTCAATAACCCACTTTAGCTTAAATGACTGGAGAGAGGCGAGCTCTTCTTCGGAGGCCGTTGCATTTATTTAGTTGTTCTTCTGTTTCACAAAATACATCACAGACCTCAGTTTTTCTGCTGCCTCGTTACACTTCCAGAAACTCTTTTTCTCTTTTTCTCTCTCTCTCTCCCTCTCTCTCTCTCTCCAAAGGGGCTTTTTTGGCATGAAAGTTAAATTAAACAATGTTGCCAAAGCATCACAATACAAAATAATTAACAACATTAACATACATTTCAAATGTTTACATAATTATTGATGATATATATATACAGTGATACAATTACATTTCAACGTGTGTGTGTGTGTGTGTCTCATTCACTGTCCCTCAGGTTGTGGAATGTGTATACATATTGGGCAGCAAGGTGTGCCTTGTCTCCTTCTCCTAGGAGTACTCTCAGTCTTGAGAGGTCATCAACCTCCTTGAAACCTGGGATTACAGAGTTCAACTTGTTCCAGTAAA